GTGAGAGAAGAAGGAGGTGGGAGGAGAATTTTACTTTTTTTCTTCTTCTTCTTCACCAGAATATATTCCATTCTCCCAAATGACTCATTATTATAAAAGATTGTTTTCTCTCTCTGTCTCTCTCTCATAGCCACTGGACTTTCTCTCGCCATCATCTCAGCATCTCATCTGACTCTCACAGGAAGAAAAGAGGATGAAGGATGCTGAGTGTTACTTTCTCTCATTTATTTCCCTCGTTTTTCGCTAGATTAAACCAAACTAGACTCCGGTTCATTTGCCCTTTTACACTGTCCACCAACGGTTTCCAACTTTTTTTTTACTTTTTATTTTTACTTTTTTCTCCCCAAAATTTGCCATTTTTTTCCATCTTCTCTCTACTCTCTTTGTTTTCAATGTTAACATCAATAGCCTCTCCTCATCTCCGGACATTAATCTTATCTGAATCCGGATTATTGTTGGCTTTGATTTTCATTTCAAAACTCTCATTACTTTTTTTACTCTAAAATTTTCATTTATTTGTCTTCCTTTTCCTGCGTCATCCTCTCCCATTATCATCATCATCATCATCTCTTTGTTGTCGTTCTGACCGTTTGCTCACTTTTTCTCCATGAATTTGAAACTTTTCATTTGATTAAAAATCAACTTTTCTGTTTACTCATTTGTATAAATTATGCTAATTTTTACCAACTTCAACTGTTTTTCACTTGCTTTTTGTTTCAGTTTCATTGTCCTTATTTCAACCAATATTAACCACTTTCAGTGCATAAATTGTAATAATGTTTATCAATAGTCAAGCTTTTGTAAAGACATTTTAATCATTGAGCAAAAAATGCAGCAATTGTTTTAAAATTGTTTGCTTTTCATTCACATTTTTACCTGAAAAAAACGCTAAACTATTCAAAATGTGATGTTAAATAAATTACATCAACAATGAGCAAATTCAATTAATTCAATCGATGAAGGCAAACTTTCTCTTCCATAATATATATTCATTATGAGATGCATTTTGCTTTGGTGCAGCTTCATTGGTCGTTGAGTGTTATTAGTATTCAGAATGTGTTATTAGTTAATCTTAATTGTTAATCGTTTGGAGTAAATTCAGAGTAAGAGCAAGAAAGAAAGAGAATAATGATTCGTTTTTGCTGTTGTTGTTGTTGTTGTTGATCGATTAATTATGGCCAGTAAAATGAGAGGTAAAGTTAAAGGTAAGAGAAAAGGTGTGTTTAAAATGGAAACCACAAAAATAACAAAAATTTTTCTTCTGATAAGTTGAATAAGCGCAAGGAGAAGAACAAAAAAAAGACTAATATTCTTAATAGGAATAATGATATTATCATAAGATATGGTTAAGCAAACGTTTAGCTTCTTCGCCAAATGATATTATTCATGGGCCTCAGAGTATTTAATATTTAGGAAAATAATAGTTGCCATTCATATTTATGATGCTTTAAAAACTTCCTTTTCTGCTTTATTAATGTATTTATATTAATATCATCATTATTATTGGAACACACCTTAACACTATTTAAAGTTAATCATTTTAAGATAATCATTTCATTCCTTCAAGGCAATGGATCAACATATTTACCTTTCTCATTACCTTTGTTCGTGAGTTGCTGCGATTTGTTTGTGTCTCTGTTGCGAAACATATTTAACCTTTTACCTTGCATTGGTAAGGTTAAAGGTAAAGTTGATCACGAGTTGTTTACATCGAATTGAAAATGTTTCGATTTTAAATCGATTTCTGTTCGATTATTCAGTTGATAGTTTTTGGTAAAGTGACGAGTATTGTGTAAACAGAGATTCAAGATGAAGAGCGAGTTGACTCGAATTGAGAGAGTTTCTCTTTTCCTCGATTATCGAGTTGATTGACCTGTTTCGGGTATGGGTCGATCTAACGGGAAAGTTATAATCTCTAACATAGATTTTCAAGGGTTTCCAAAAGGGCACTGAGAACCACAAGAGTTTCGGTGCTTTATCGTGATCCAATCCGATAAACCGATTCCAGTGAATTGGTACCTTACAAAGAAAAGACAACTCTTGCCGGGACTTTTGGAAACTCGGTAAAGACCGAAAATTTTGAACGAAAATGGCTGTTGATCGGTTAAAGATAGAAGCGTTAAGTGTGATAAGATTAGCCGAAAGAAGCTTCAACTCGTGTCTTACTTGTGATTCACAATGTTTGAGATAGTCAATTTGACCTTATGAGTTATCTGGTAAAAGGATTTGTGATTAAAGTTAAAAAACTGAAAGATTGCAAAATGTTTGTTGGGATGAAATCAAATGTGTCTGCATTAACTTTTTTTCAATGAAAATAACCCGATGAAACGATTTACAAATTCACAGCTTTCACGTCTTGTTAGGCAACCCAGACAGTTGAACCTTAAGTCAAAGTTGTGACTCTTGATAATGAACAAGTTTTATCTAAACTTATCATTGGGATCAACATTTTTTCATACATTCATTTACTTTTCGATTGCACAAAAAAAAGTGCCAAATAATCTGATGATAAACTTGAAAACAATTTTCACTCTATTTGCCACTGAAATTGATCTGAACAAGAAACATTGAAAAATTATTCCAAATCAGACATATTTGAAAATATATTACAGAATGTTAAAGCTCGAAAAACGGCGATAAACCAATGAAAAGCCAATGCAAAGGCAGACAAGTTGATTGAACTCTATAAAGAGATGATTATCGTTCGTAGAGTTTTCGTTGAGACTTGCAGCATTTTCACTTTGCAAATCCAACCATGAATGTTAAACTGAATAAACGTTTAGTGTTGATAATGATAATTGCCTTGTGCTTGCGGGCAGTTTTAAATTTCATTGTTGAAGATTAGTAAAGTTGAATCAATTTTTTTTATTGAAACAAAATGTCAATGATTTGTGATTCAATATTTATCAACTGTTCAACTTTAATGTTGAACAATTTTATTGAGAGTTGAACTTGTTAGATAAAAGCAAGCAAAGCAAGTATTAAAAAAAACTGAAACATGGATACAATTAAAGCATTGATTAATGCATCTCATTAATATAAATCTTGTTAGATTAGCTTAATCAGGGGAGAAAAGCAAAAGAACCAAGAGACTGTATTTATCCTTGAAAGAAATGATGATGATGATGATGAGAAAAACTGAAAGAAACTGAAGATAGATAAATAAAATTCAAACAGATATTTTGTTAAAATAATTTTTCTCTCTCAAACTGACTCTCTTTACTCAGCAATAAACTTAATTTATTCTGGTTTTTTTGGAGTTAAAAACACATTTTGAAGCTGAAAAAAGGTAACCCAGAAGCAAATGATGATCTTAATCAAGTTTACCTTTACGGGTTTACTTTTCTCTCCATCATCATCATCATCATAATCTTGCAAAGTTGTACTTCATGAAATTGCCCAGAAAATAATTGCTTTTGACTAATTAATTGATTCTTTAATGAAATTTCCATCCTCAACTTTTAGAGCATTTTCGGTCATTTAAATTGTTGCAACTCAAATGTTGAGTGCGAGAGAAGAGAAATAAGTTGCCTCAAAATGGAAATTCAAATTGTTCTATTTTGCTACGAAATTTTGGCCAATTTTTTCTCTCTCTCTTCGGCTCTTCACTTCTTGCACTTTCGTTAAGTGAGTGTAAATGGTCAATAATGCCCAAGGGTGGAAAGGTAAAAGAAGAAGAAGACAAGAAAGTGAATATTGAATCCAAACAAGGAACCGTTTTGTGCAGTTTTGTGACTGTAAAACCAGAGAATCTGAACAACTGATAAAATCGACTTTCAAATCTTATCTTATCTTTTTCCATCTTCTTCTCTTTTTTTGCCTGACAATGTTCACCTTCAACCTTGTTGACCAAGCTTAACCTTCAGCGTACGGTCAAACGTTTTTTTGTAGGAGTTTTGTTGTTCTGTCAAGGTTACAAGTTTTTCATTGAAACAAAAAAACTGACGACTTTATTGACACTAGGAAAAGGAAAGGTAAAGAGCGCAGTAAAAGTAAAAGTTGCAAAAGTTGATTCGAAGTTTCAAATTTTACTTCAGGAGAAGAAGAAAAAAAAAGTTGCAAAAAATCTGAAGAAACATTGAAACAGAATCTTATTGGAAAATTAATGGCAATATTAATCAATCTTTTTCTTGCTTTTCGCTGCTTTCAATATGTACTATTAATAAAAGGTAAAAGTCGCTTAAAATTCAATTAATATTCAAAGTTGCAGAAACGATAAGAAGGTAAAATAAAAAAAGTTGAATCGTTAATTACATTCAATTATCATCAACTAATTAATTGGACAAAGTAAACAACAAAATGAGGTCATTTGCGTTTAAATAAAACGTCGACATATAAACAAGTAAAAGGTAAACAATAATTGAAGAAGAAGAAGAAGATGCAAAATCTGTCATCAATTGAACTAAACAGAACTTTTCTCTTCTTCAGATTTATATCAATTTTTTTGGTTACCTGTTTAAATGCATAAATAGTTTGATGATTTATTTTGTTGTGTTGAGCCGCAACTCACATTCAGGTTTCAGTATTCATGCTTTTCACATTAAATTAAGGGAAAGAAGAAAAGATGAAGATGAAGATGATGATGGCGAGAAGAAGAAGAAATGGAAAAATGAAAAAAAAAACTTTGAAACTGCCCATTTCTTCCTTTTCTCCGCCTTCTTTCTTAAACTTCTTGAGCGTTTACTAGTTAAACAAGTTTTGACCCCCTTTTTGAGTGTGTTTTTTATTTTATCATTTGCTCCTTCATCATCATTCTCATCACTCTCATCTCACTTGCCTTTTACTTGGTTAACGTTTCTTTCTTTCGCATTTGAATCACTAACTTAGTGATTCAACTTTTCAAATTAATCGACAATTGACTTTCAAATTTTTTTCGAGTTTACTCAATTATCTCAAAACAAAAGGCCAAGTTAATCGACAACAAAAAATTGTGCAAAAATTTTCGTCAAAATTTTTCGTTTCAACTTTTATCAACATTTAACTTATCTCATTGCTTACAGTTTATTGTTGTGTGCATTTCAAGTGCCAATATTTGGATTTAAGCGCATTTCCATTGGATTTTAATTGTTGACCGAAAACACCGGATTAACCAATCAGTTAACCTGGGTCTTAAATCAGTTTCATCGCCCTTTCACCTTTCTCATCTCATTGAGAAATCGACTCCAAAGGTAAGCAAAAATTTCGCTTAAATTTACCGCAAAGAATCGAGAAAATCGACTTTTCTTTTTGTTCGACTGTCAACTTTCTGTCAACTTTGACTATCGATTTCGAGTTAACTTTAGAAATTTTCTGAAATTTTCCTATTTGATTGTCTTCAAGTTCATCTATAAAGAAATTCATCAATTTTAGAAATTTCACTTTTCTTTATTCCAATGAATGGAAACGTTATTCATGTAATAATCTGTTCAATCTCTTTACTGTTTGATTCATTTTAGAAAAAAAATTCTTTCTTTACGAAAATCAATCGTTAATTGAAAAGTAACAAAAAAATTGAAACAAAATGTTACCTAATGAATGATTAATTTTGCCATAAAGTTTTGATTAAATTGTGATGTAACAACTATTTTAATCACTGTTGGGTCAATCTAATTTAATCAATGTGATTCAATATCAAGTTATTTCATTGAAAAGCAAAGAGTATAACAAGAGAGTACGACAATGAGAGCTATAGATAAGAGCGATAAGAAGTTAAAAGAATCAGTAAAAGAGGGAGTTAGCAGCGAAAAAGAGACAAGGAAAGAGATGAAAAAATGACAAAAAAAGTAAACAATTTTTTCCATAAAACTCACTTCTCTCATGTAACTTTTGATGGCCAACCAGAGAATATGCTTATTCCGGGAAATAAAATTGTCTGTTTCTGTACAAGAGGTCACTTCGATTCACTGAAAAGTTATTCGCTTTCGGCTAGGATAATAGAGAATGAAACTCATTTTTACCGATAAAGTTATTAGTGAACATGTTTGATCGGACGCTTTTTCCAATTCAACAATAGTCTTCATGATTTGGGCCATCGGTCTTAAAACTTTGGCCCTGAATATTTCGAGAATCAGATCAACTTGCCTTAGATTTTATTATGTGCTGTGATATTTTGAAATAATAGACCAATCAAGATTCTACAAAATGACATATTCAATCATATTACTTATTTTGTCAGATTTGATACTTGATTTATAAAGGTGAATGTTTACTCAAACACAAATCTTATGTGTTTAAAGGATATTCATTATTTGATGAATTAGCTCAGATGTTCTTCAGTATTCAGTCATATGATATTATAGCACAATATTTAAAATCTACAAGATTATGATTGGTACAATAATAATGATTGTAGGTGCTAACATTCTTGAAATATTCAGGCCCAAGTTTAAAGACAATGGTCAAAATCTAGAAAACTATTGTTGAATTGAAAAAGTGTCCGATCAAACAAGTTCACAAATAACTTTTATCGGTAAAAATGAGTTTCAGCTCATTCTCTATTATCATCGCTCTTAGTCCCAACTCTTACACGCTGTAACGCGAAAGTAAAATTTTTGGCATAACTCCTTAAAAAGGATTGTTTGTGGCGCCATCGCGTTCTGCTCGTTTTCCCTATTCTCATCTCAAAAAGATAGTTAACAACGCGTAAAAAAGCATCTTCAAGATTAATCATGAAAAATCATGCAAATGCTTGTAAAGATAGTGAGATTCAATGAGCTAAAGGCAATTTTAATCTAATTGAAACAAGTCGCAATGTCAGGCCAATTCTATTCATAACCCATAAGCATGCTGAATAATATGGTGATGGTTTCATATCTGAAAAAATATCCAGAGTGAAAATTTCAGAAAACTGAAACGTGAATTTCGTTAAATTTTACTGAATAGCAAATCAATCACATCATATTATTCAGTGTACTGTGTTACATTTATTTTGCCAACAATCAGCTGGCTTAGATAGCATCTCAATAGTATAGCAAAATAAACTAATAATTTACACTAATAAATCCATGTTTCAATTCAGTTTTTCACAATGTTCCACCCTGTTTGGTGCTTTTTCTGCAAATAAAACCTTGACTATATTATTCAGTATCCTTGATAACATGGATCATGAATAGAATTGGCTAGCTTTGCGACTTGAAAATAGGTTTCGTTATCGAAATCAGCATAAAATCTCGTGTCTGAGAAGAATCATTACAGAATAATTCGAGAATAGGCGATTTTGCAGATGTTCCTCTCTAGTTGAATCACAAATTTTCCAGCCAATTCACCTTTTCAGTAAAAGAACAAGAAATTGAAAAGGAATAAAACATGAAAATTCTCATGCATATTGAATTTGGTATAAAAGATGAACAAAGATAATGTTGATTGAAGCATGAAAACAAATTAGATTTCAAAGATTTCATATTTGAATATCGTTTGGTCAATGATTGAAGTTTTGCAACTTTTTCATTGAAATTAATTCGAAACTTGTAACTTTTCGTTGTCAGAAAATCTGAGGACTAATTAGACAGAATATTAATATTCGTTGGGTTGAATTATGTGATTCTCGTTTTAGCATAAGCATAACATGGTTAAATTAAATTCTGTAGGCGAATCATCTAATGGCTAAAATTATTCCCTGTAAGGTGCTTTTGAACCTTATACATAAATACATTATCATAATGAATCTGGTTGTTTCCCAATTAATGAAGCATTATCTCAACATCTAACCTTGGAGTTTATAATTGAGTCACAATTTTGTTGTTATCTTGGCGTAACTTTTATTTTCACTGTCAAGGTAACGTTTCATATCATTCACAATTATTGTTATTATAATTAACAGAATGACAATTAGGAAATTTTGAGACTTTTAATTAGATTCCGTTAGCGAATGATGATGATAATATTGATCAATTGAAAATTATAACCAATAAATTACAATCTCATTCAATTAATCATCAAACATTTTCATAGTCACAACTTGCATTTGCACCTTTTAATGTTCAACAAATCAGTTGAACATCATTCAGCTTTACCACCTTTTAATCAACATTAATCTGTTGATTCAGTTTCAGAGTTTCATTTTAACCTGAAAAACTCGTGGATTAACCAAGTTTTTGTCTAACTTTTCCAATCAGTTTAACCTTAAAAAGTTCAATTACTTCATGATGTAATCAACTGTAATTATATCAATTGTGTGATTTATTAACCTTTATTCAAACTGATTATCTATTAATGCAATTGGAATCATTTAGTTTCATCTTTGGTATGTAATTTGAAATCTTTTTTTTCATTTTCGCCGAAATTCTTTTCATGGTGAAAATGTGTTTTTAGCTTTTTGCTTTACAAAAGCGAATATGAAATTTTTTTCGCAAAAATTCGCAACTGAATTTTAATGGAAAAGTTCAAACCTCAAATGATTGACCAAAATGTTTAAATGATATTCAAATTGACTTTGAAATCTAATTTACTTTCATTTTCATGCTTCAATCAACTTTACCTTGGTTCATCTTTTACACCAAATTCAATATGCATGAGAATTTTCATGTTTTATTCTTTTGTCTAAATTCAGTCAATTTTTTTCTTCTTACACTGAAAAGGTGAATTGAATTGAAGAAAATGTGGAAAAGAGAAAAGTTGATTTGCTGGAAAAATTCAACTAGAAAATTCTGTCAATGTTTCTAATCATTTTGTCGTCGCTTCTCTTTACATGATCCTGAATGGGCAATCAAATGACTTTACCCTGAAGCCATTTTAATCCATAAGTATTAGATATTTGTTTCAATGGAATAAAATTTGAACAAGAAAAAAATTCTAAATCAAAAGTTGTGTTCGAAAAGTGAACGAAAAAGTTGCTCCAAAAGTCCTTCAAATGTCATTTGATGGCTCATGACTTTCATGGTAATAAAGTCAATGAGTTGGCCATTTTACCGATGATAATTGAAGGGACAGACCGATGAAACCTTTTACCGGTCAACCAAAGTTGCCGTTGAAAGGTTCGTTTCATCTTCCTAATGAAACAAAAGTTATTGAAAGGAAAAGCAAAATTATTCAAAGTTGCTCTTCAAGTCGAGTGCAAAAAGTGAGCTTTCTATTAACATTAAATATTGCTATTAAAAAGCTAAGTTTGATGATGAGCTACAAATGATGATAATCATGATTATAACCAATGATGATGATCATTATTATTATGCACTTGGAATCACATCATACACTTGATTGGTCTATTTTTAATCACTTTTAGCTCATTGAATAAAAAGTATTAATTGAAAATCTCGTAATTTGATTGCGACTAGAAACTAACAAATTAAAAATTGCCTTTTAATATTAAACTTTCAATCGATCAGCACATTTTCATAAGAGTCTTGAACTGGAAAACAAAAAGTACATTCAACTTCAACTTAGTGATTCAACTTTCAATCGACAGCTGAATTTTTCGAGTTTACTCAATTTCCAAAGATAAAAAAGCCGAACTTTTGAAAATCGAAAACTTTTGTGCTAAAATTTTCGTTCTAAAACTCAACTTCGTTTCATCTTATTGCTTACAGTTTATTGTTGTGTGCATTTCAAGTGCCAATATTTGGATTTAAGCGCATTTCCATTTGGATTTTAATTGTTGACCGAAAAACCGGATTAACCAATCAGTTAACCTGGGTCTTAAATCAGTTTCATCGCCCTTTCACCTTTCTCATCTCATTGAGAAATCGACTCCAAAGGTAAGCACAAATTTTACATTAAATTTACCGCAAAGAAAGAATTGAAAAAATCGACTTTTCCTTTTGTTCGACTGTTTTCGAAGGTTAACTCGAAATTGATAAATTTTCAAAAATTTTCCTTTTCGATTGTCTTTCAAGTTCATCTGTAAAGAAATTCATGAATTTTGGAAATTTCACTTTTCTTTATTCCAAATAAATGGAAACGTTATTCATGTAATAATTTGTTCATATTCAATGGTTTCAATTTCAATCTCTTTTCTGTTTGATTCATTTTAGAAGAAGAAAAAATTCTCTTTACGAAAATCAATTGTGCTTCATTTCATCTTGATCACAATCACCATCTTTTCCTATCATTTTCATCAATTTCATCATGACAAAACAACCACCGAATGAAGAGAGAGAGAGAGAGAGAGAGAGTAAAGAGGAGAAAAAAAAGTTCGAGAAAAAAAAGTTCGAGAAGGAAACAATTCTAGATAAGCTTTTTGCCTGCATTTCATTCTTGTATAATTCAGAGCACATCAATCCTTAAAAAAATGCTTCATGATTAATAAATCTTACAAAGGAAATCTTCTTAAAGAATGGAGATGAACACTGGGAATGAAGAAGAAAAAATCAAATCTTACGGTGATTCTCATGGTTCCTCATTCCTCATTTCCACCCTTCTCATCATCATTATGATGAACCAATCAAAAGAAAAGGTTGTTCAGTTGAATATAAGTTTCTATTTCAAGTCAAATATTCTCTTGACAATCGACTGAATTGAAAAGGAAACTGAATCATTTTTATCACCTTTATTCATCTTCATCTCTATTAATACATTATCATTTCAAAAATGCTCTTATCATAAACTCGATTGATTATCAGACTGTTCAGACAACAGCATGAAAACATTTCTTAATTTTGATCCATTCGCATCACTTTACTATCTTTACCAGCATTTACATCATTTTTTTCATGATTAATCTTGAAGATGCTTTTTTTAGATGCAATTGACTTTTGAATAAAAACTTGATTGTTTGTTGAATCACATTGATGAAATTAGATTGAACCAACGACGATTAAAATAGTTGTTACATCACAATTTAATCAGAACTTTATCTCCAAATTAATCATTCATTAGGTAACATTTTGTTTCCATTTTTTGTTTTTACTTTCAACTTCTTTGCACAATTTTAAATGCTAATCATTAAGTGTCACAATTTGTTTGATTAAATTGCTGATTAATGATTAGTCGAGTGATTATGATCAATCAGTTTTTTCAATTACATTTAGAAGTTGATTTTTAATTGAAAATCCTTTTTTCACTCTTTTCCTAGTCATTAGATTTGATTTGATTGGAAAAGGTTAAGCACTTTTTGTCACCGTTTTTTGTGGTTTCTTTGCGGTTAATTTTGTTTTGTTTTTTTTCGTGTTTTGTTTAACATTTTCAATCTGATTAATTGCTGTTCATTCATTATGGTTGTTCAATTGTATTTCATTAAACAACAGGAATCTTCTCAATCAAAGGTTCCCTCCATGATGAATGAAGATTACAGGATGAGTGATAAGGCTGATAACGTTCATAATGGACACCACAAAGAACCAATTAATTATTGTTCAGATAATTCTGAAATGGATGATATTGAACCAGAAGATGATTGTGACTCAATGGATTCAGAGAAATCTCTTAATTTGGTAAGAATTTTTGGAAATCTTTTTTTGGCTGTCCACCAAAATTTTTACTGTTAACCTGGACTCTATTTAATTTTGATTCATTTTTATTTTCTTTTTCTCAGACCATGGGAGACAATTCAATGGACACCTCAACACCACCTCCAACAGGTTCAACACTCATATCACCCAACTACAATTACAATAGAAACAACAATTGCAACAACAATTCAAATGGAACTTTAAACCTGTCTTCACTTCATTCAGCCAGTCGTGTTATCCTCAACCCAGTGTCAAGTGTGTTCACTGCATCACCAACCTCATCCTCGTCCCCTTCACATCGACCCTCAACCGCAACATCAACAACCCCAACCAACATGAAATCATCATCCCTGTCAACCTCAATGAACCCAAGCCAGTTACCAATGTCATCGCCTACCTCTTCACGAGACTCACATTCACCGTTATCTCCACTCGCAATGTCATCCTCACCACCACCTACATCGTCAGCCTCTTCCCTTCACCATTCACACTCTCATCACCCTCATCACCATCACCATCAACACAGCCAGCCAGCTCATCACAATCAACATTCATCCTCTTCACCCTCACCAAGTTTATCATCAGCAGCTACAGCAGCAGCCGCAGCAGCCGCAGTGGCAAACAATTTACACCAATTAGAACAATTACAGGGTATTCCATTGAATCTTAAGGGAGGCGGTTCAAGTGGAACTGATTTAACCACTGGTTCAAGTTTGTCCAGTACAAATTCAAGATCATCTCCAACTGGAACCGATTTATCAATGAATGGTTTCAAAAGTTTATCTTCCAACTCCTCAATGAATGGAAATTTAATCAATCCAAATAACCACAATAGCACCAGTTTAAACAACAATCGAACCAACAACACCAACAGTAACGCAAATAATTTATCATTGAATTTAAGTTCGTGCAACGGTGACAACGACATTAACAATGGTTCATCAAGTCCAAGTGATCTATCAACAAGCGGATCCCTGAATCGCGGATTAAACTCATTAGCACCTAATTTATTATCCTCACCAGCAGCAGTAGCAGCGGCAGCAGCAGTCGCCCGATCAAATTTACCAATCGACAAGTTTGCCCAGGTAAGTTCAAACACCAAACTGAAAACAACAAAAATCTAAAAAAACTCATTCTATTTGCACAGTTGATGGCAGCTCAAGGACAGTTGCTTTTAACGGCAACTTTGGCCCAACAATTGCAACAAGCATCAACAGTAAAGGTAAATATACTTCACTCGACCAAACTGAAAAATTCTGACCATAACTTTTTCCATCAGCAACAGGCGCCCGTCGCAACAAATTTAAGCGGATTTCCGTTGAACGATATCCAAACGATTCAACAACAATTGCAACAACAACAGCAAAACTTTCAAAACCTTCAACAATTGTTGCTCCTTCAATCGACTGGACAATTGACTCCAAATTTACAGCAAATGTTGATACAAAATCAGGTAAATGAAACTTTTTGAATAAAAGAAGAAATTTTTTTCTCTGTTCGAAACTTATCGAAACTTTGAACCTTTTCTTGATTACAGTTTGAACAAACTTTACAATCATTAACTGGCCATGGAATGTCTTTACCTCAAGTTGCTGTAGCAGCTCAACAATTGCAGCAACTTCAAGAATCACTTGGTCTCAATGGTTCATCACCAACTTCATCCTCTTCCTCTTCATCTACATCATCTTCATCTTCGGTTAAAATTAAAATGGAAGATGCAAATGATAACAACAATTGTTCCAATTTTAACTCTACCAATAATAACAATAGTAATAATAGTAATAGTAAAAATAATAACAACCTAAGTAATAATTCCAATAACAATAGTTCGAGTAAATATCACCAAAGAAATGGTTCACCTTGCGACATGATCACCAATCAAAAGAAAGTAATCAATCTAATTAATCATCATCATCATAGTATTAATGGATTAACCGATCCAACTTCATCTGCATCTTCAGCCTCTTCATCCTCATCTTCCAACAACAATGGCACATGCAACAACAACACAACAGCCAACAATAACAATGTTAATTCTCATCATTCGTCCCATCAGATTAACCATTATCATCATCAACTGTCTTCCGTACGATCTCGTACAGAAACAAGTCCAGAGGAAATGACAGATCTAGAAGAGTTGGAACAATTTGCAAAAATGTTTAAACAGCGAAGAATCAAATTGGGTAAGTTGCATACGAACGAAAATAAAAAAAACGAAAAAAATCGAAAAATCAAGAGTTCGATTGAAAGAAAACTAAATTTAAATTTTTACGATTCTCTGTTTTCCCTCTTAAGGTTATACCCAAGGTGACGTTGGTTTGGCAATGGGTAAACTGTATGGAAATGATTTCAGTCAGACAACAATAAGTCGCTTCGAGGCTCTTAACCTGAGTTTTAAAAACATGTGCAAATTAAAGCCGTTACTGGAAAGATGGTTGAAAGACGCTGATGCCTCACTGACCAATCCTGGAGTCATGTCATCGTCCCAGGCTTCAGCTGATGCCATTGGAAGAAGGCGCAAGAAGAGGACAAGCATTGAGACGACAGTACGTGTTGCCCTTGAAAAAGCATTCATCTCTAATCCTAAGCCTACATCCGAAGAGATAAGCATGTTGGCTGATTCACTTTGCATGGAAAAGGAAGTGGTTCGAGTTTGGTTCTGTAATAGAAGGCAAAAGGAGAAGCGAATCAATCCACCGCCCAATTCATCGGATAATCCAGGCAATGGTTGTCCATCACCTTCATCTTATCCCTCCCCACCTCCTTGTTGATAAACAATGTGAACAAACGCAATGACAAGAGAATGACATGAATCCCAAACGACCCTCTTCGATTATAAATAAAAATTTAAATGATTCCCTTTTCCTTTCTGTGAAAAGGTCAATCGTAAAACAATTTAATGATAATTGTTAATAATAATTAATTGTCATGACACAGAATAAAAAAATCAACCATCAACTTCATTTTGTGTGAACTTTAACTTTTCATTTTCAACACAACATGAAACTGCAAGGACAAGCCTTTATTATAAACTATTAATATCATTATCATTCTTATTATTAATGCTTAACTATTATTATTGATTAATACATTTCCTCATTGATACAAAACTTTTTTGTCCACCATTTTTCATTTCACGATCAAAAAGCACCTTTTGTCACAATATTCAAAGTAAAATTGAAAAACTTCAGTTGCATTTACTTTTTTTGTTCATCAATCAATTTAGATTAATTTTCCGGTAGAAACAGGTAGAAAAAGTAAATCAATCTCAATGACGAGTATGAAAAAAAATTTAGCAAATTTTCATCAACTTTCAATTAAATGTTTAATAAACAGCAATTAAACTCGACAAAAAGTCGATTAACTAGAGAGAAAAAGGTTGAAATTAAAAAATGAAACGGAAATTTTGATCAATTCAAACAATTAGTTTGATTTAAATTAGTTGCAAAAGTTTAAGGATCAAACAACTCGAGTCACTGAAACCGTCAAAGGTCACAACAAATTTGGCGTCATTAATCAAGAACGAAAGTTAGAAGTTGGTAATTTTGTAATGAAAAATAACCCAATGATTCATTTAAGGCAAACTTGAAGCTTTGTAACCATTTCACTTGAACTGTTAATAATAAAGTGATTATTAAATTAACTTTTACTCATTCAAATGGCAATTGTTTTGCCAACTCAAAGTTTATCAGATAAGAGGCTAAACTTTGAGTCAAAGAGTCGTCATGGAGCAAAGCATTTCTTAGTTATGAGATAACTAACATAACGTGACCTAGCCTAACACCATGTAAACAAATTTTGCGCATCTTTGCGTGATTATAATGAAATTTGCATTTTTCGCGATAAAACAAAAGTCGAAGATATTGAGGCGGTAGAAAATGCTTAAATCTATTTCTAGTACTCTCCGCAAGGTGGCGATACTCTAGAAATATGTAAACCATTTGCCAACTGAGTGTGTTCAAAGATTTAAACTGACAATGGGAAAATTGATTGAAGGAGCCAGTACATGGAATACAGAATTTTGGATTCAATGATTATAATATGATAATAAATAATAATAATAATGATAAAAAAAGATGAAAACAGGAGGAGTTGAGTGGACTAAAAAGGGTGGTCCTAGCACATGCGTAAGTTGAAACAATATTTTGGATGATTTATCCGCCCACAAATGAAAAAAAATAAGATGAAAAAAGGGGGGAAGAAGAAGATGAAGAAAAATGTTCCTTTGAAAGTGAATCACGAATCAGTTATCATCCTTAATCAACAGGGGAACTCACTCTCTTCCTCATTCTCATCTTTTCCTCTCTTCATCCTCTTCATCCTCTCTCTTCCCTCTCTCGCCTCTCTCTCTCTCTGGCTCTCTCTAAACTCTTGTAAACTCACTCTCACTCTTAACCGTTCTGATTTGCAAATAACATCGGAAACTGTAACAACCATTTTTTGTTGTCTGTGTAACAATTTTTTTCATCATTGCAATATGAATAACAAAATGTCAGCTCAAGTGACCAAACAAAATGTTGACAACAGCTTTTTTGCATCTTAAATAATCAAATATTTTTTTCCCTCATTTTGCGTGCGTAATTATTGTTTACCAAAACTTAGTCAACTTTACCTTTATAACGATTCAATGGCAAGTCAACATAATCACTTTACTCCCAGCCATTCATTGAGTTGGTTTTAAATATTGCTTGTTGCTAATCAAGTGATTGATATTTAAATATATTATAATTAGACGTAAATATTTACATTGATAAATTGTGATTCAACAATCGGCTGCTTTTGTCTTTTGATTTAAATTTTTTCGGGACAAAAAGCAAAACTTATTCTTCTTTTTTTCCTCACTTTTCAACAAAATTGATTGTGCTTTTCCGTGTAATTGTTTACTTGTTAATCGTTCAATTGTCATCTTGACACTGTTTAATTGTTGAAAGTGCAAATCGTTGAGTCACTTTTTTCCTTCTCGCTACTTTGAATAACCAAAATTTATCAATTTTGAGTTTTAAAAGAAACTGGATTTTGACCGTAAAAAATTTGACCAAAGAAGACCAAACTAAACAGACAAAATATGACTGATTTAGAAGTGCTTGAACAATGTGCCAAACAACAGCAAATTAAATTGGGTAAGTAACACTTTACTGATTAGGTTATCAATCAGATTAATTCATTTGATTCAATCCCATTCCCGATCCAAAGAGTAGTGAAGAGACACTTTGAATGCTGGTCAAAATGATTGAAGATTTATCCTAATATTTCATTCCTTGAACCGATAGACTCAGATGTTTTGCATTATTGTGACAAACTGAACTTCAATTGACTCTGAATCTTGATTCAACTTGATTGGAATGGTCGAGGTTAAACTGATTACTTTTGCATCATTTGTTTGTTTCAATTGATAATTATGAATTTGAATGATTTTCCTTGCTCTTTCATCTTTCCTAATTTGCTTCTCTTGACGATCAAATATTTCATATTGTCTTTATTAGTTTATTTCATTTTTAGCATCTTTCTTTTTCTTCTGTGAAAAGAGCAAACAGGAAAAATTGGTTTGACCGAATTGACCAGCCAATTGCTTGTTCTGCATTTTGACCATTCAACTGATTTGGTTCTGAAACAAATCAGTACAATCAAGAAGAGTTGTAAGCTTGGTTAGATGTAATCAAATGATTTTTGACGAGAGAGAGAGACTATTATTTTCTCATTGTTGAACTTTTTCATGTGAAAGATAAAAAGTAACTTGATGAACAACTGGAAAAAGCAAGTCAGGTAAATGAGGTGAGAATAGTAAAGAAAGGTCAAAATTGACCAGAAAAAAATGGATCATCAGTTTGGACAATTCGTCTTTCCTTTCATATTAGATTGAAGAGTAAAAATGATAAAGGATAAAGATATGTTAACTGTTGAAGATGAGGATGAGAACAGTAAATTGAAAATTGATTTGGTTCAAATGTTTGAAAGGAAAGAAGGAGAAGAAAAAGAGGAAAAAAATTCTTTAACCAAATCCAAGTCCAACAAAATATCCAAATGCAATTGATATGCTTTGTATTATCATCTTTTTTTTGTTGTTGTCTTCAATTTACATCAAGTTATTTTGATGAAAATAATGAAATAAAAGGAAAAGAAGAGGAGAAGAAGAGCAAAAAAGATGAAAAAAAGAGGAAAATTTGTTGACAAAAACAACATGAGATTCAAATTCTCAATTTAAATTTAAATTTGTTCCTTTCTCTTGCCACTGACCAGAGATGAGATTGCCTTTGCTGTGAAGAGACCTTTAAGGCGAGATTTACTTTTCATGATCAACTTTGAATAAAAGTTGAAAAATGCTTTTCCTTCTTCTTCTGCACAAATTATCAACATTTTACTTCAATTGTTTTGCCACTCTTTCATGTTGGTCACTTTGCTTTGTCAAAAGTTTCATTTCAATTTTTGGTCCAAAAATTTTTTCTCTTCTCTCTTGGAGTAAACATTCCATGTTGTTGCATATTATATAAGAGTAAAGGTTAAAGAAAAAATGTTTTCCAAATGCAAAAACTGAATCTAGGAAACATGTTTTTTCTTTCTTTTGCCTTTCTTTCCATTTCCACATGTTTTCAACTGATATCACATGGGAATACGATAGAAACGAGGTGAACAGTTGATATTTGAATACTTGTCGTGATTGTCATTGAATTGATTGCAAGAAAATATTTCAACAATTGAATCTTGAATATAAAATGTAAAAATCAATATTGAACATCTTTTTGGTCAATTTTGTTTCTCTGTTTAAATTAGTTTCAGAACTTTAATCAATCGAAAAAATATTCCAGTTTTTTTTGCTTCTCTCACTGTCCACTCATCTTTTAATGCAAAGAGGAAAATTTGCTCTTCAAGAAGTTGGCCGATGTTAATGGCCATTATTTAAGGGAAGAGAAGAGGAAGAATGAAGATGAAAATGAGAAGAGAATGCAAAAAAGATGAGGATCAGGATGAGAAGAGATTGAAAGACACTTTACAGAAAAACATGTTTCCATGGTTTTCCCATTTTAATACCTTGTCCATCAAAATGATCATTTCACTTTTTATCATCTTCTTTGCATTTATCTTCATCTTCTCTTTCATTCCATTTTTTGCATTCATTTGTATTCTTTTCAAACTCGATTGACAATCAAATGATCAGAGTTGATATCAAGATTATATTACAAGGTTTACAATTTCATCCTGAATCTGGTCAGCAAAATTTTTCTCCAATCTTTTTCTTTTAATTTCTCCAAAATTTGCTCTTCTCATGAAACTTTTTGCCAAACTCTTTGCCCAATTTGCATGGAAAATAGAAGAGAAAAAATTCTCCATTTTCTCGCCATTCTGACCATTTCCAAGTTGAATATGAATTTAAAATGAAAACTTTTCAAAGTAAAAAAGATTTAAAGAAATCATTTTTTTCTCTCTCTCTCTTCAAGTTTGTGATGAAAGATGAAAATTTATTTGAAAAAAAGTGTGAAAATGAGTTTGACTTGTAAATGAAGGTGAAAAGGAAAAAATTTGTTGAAATAATATGTTCCAAGGGAAACGAATGTTCAATTCTCGACGAATAAATCTGATGAAACATATTCCAATATTTTCATTCTCATTTTCACTTTTCACCATCATCACCATGAAGGTCAGTTTAAGGTAATATTCAGCCGCAGCAGGCAGCATAGCAAATTCACAGGAAAAGAAGGAAAAAAGTTCTTTTCTTTTGATAATAAATAGAAATAGACAAAACAGAATACATATCCATATATATATTATTCAACTTGATAATATTGAACTCTCTAGAGTTGAATATAGAAGTTTAATATTAAAAAAAGAGAAGATGAAAAACTGTTGAGTTTACCTTAACCATATCTGAATATAATTTTAAATTTGCAAGAAAAATGGTTCAAATATATTCACTGACTTTTACTTTTCACACTCCCAGTCACAGTCTTTTGCTTCAACGGGAACAATCATTTCTGGACAGAAGATGAGGAAAGTAGAAAAGAGGAAAAAAAACTTTTTTCTTCTCTCCTCAAGGCTTTTAAAGTCCGAGGGTGAAGTGAACCTTCATTATCATCCATTCACTTTATGCTCCAAAAGATGAGGCGAGTTTTGATGGACGCAAATTTTCAATTTAATATAGTTATGTAAATGACGAGCAATTCATTTTTACTCATCTTTTGACCCAAACTTTCAATTTCATCTTTTGCCTCATTTTCACCTAACATGATTCATTGAAAACTTTTCTTCTTTTTTTCGATCTTCTTTTTGGAATTGCAAATTTTCGATGCTCATTAGAAATGTTCATTATTCCATGGTTTTTATGATTATTGCAAGGAATGACAATAGAGATTATTTGTGTTAATGTTTTTGGTGATTGGGCGACCTTCTTCTTGTGGTTTTGCTTTCTTGTTATAGGGTTAGAGGTTCATGATAATGAACATGATGAAAGAGATGATACCTTTGACTCCATTGTATTTACTCCAATCAATTGATTAGGAATAAATGAATGCCATGGACAACGGATGTCACATAATTTCAAACATTTGAGCGAAATTCGCTCTTTTTCTCTTCTTCTTCTTCACATGGAAAAATAAAGATGAGTCTGGATTTTGATGGCTGGTCAAAGTGGACAAGAAAGATGATGATGATGATGAGAATCCTCACTTTGGTTAATAACAATCCATTTGGTTTACATTCATTACGCTTTGATTCCCTTATTATCATGAAATGTTATTGGAATGTGGTTAACTAAATTCCTTGTTATTACCTTTTTATCAGTTCATTTGGGTTGCATAGTGATCATCATTAGTATTACAATATTTCCTCTAATGATAATCATCAAGTTTATCGAGTAAAGTTGTGAAGCAACATTGCATTTCAACATTTCATTCAAAAGGTTCAAATCAATTTACACAAAATTTCCAAATCAACTGCTAGACAGTAGACAGAAACTCGAAATCGAACAGAAATTTAGCTCCAAAAATTGTCATTGCTCGCATTATGATGGAAAGCAAATGCAGAAGAAACAAAACTTTTGTTAGAACGGCTTTCATAAGCAAGCCTTTCATAAACAAATCTCAAACCGAAAGCTGCTGCTCAACTTGAACTTGTTCAACACAACTTCAATATCAATGACATGACACTTCAACTACATGCAAATAACTTTGATCCGGTTCGTCTTCAATTTGACGAAACATTGACTTCACTTTCAATCTTCAATCTAAAGTTCCTTTGCTTGAACCATAACAACACATAAACACCAATGTGAACCAGAAAAGCCTTGAATTGCAATTCAAAGTGTAAACCCATTTCACCGTCAACATGATGTTACATTAAATTAACAAATAATAAAGATGAATTGACCATTTCAACGTTTTCCCTGTTCAAGTTTCATGAAAGAAAAAAAGTTGAAAATTCAATTCTAAAATGTTTTCTTTTCTAAATTTTTCACCGAAAGAAAAAAGATAAATGTTAATAAACATTTCAACAAACCTTAAACACTGAAATTGATGAACATAAACAAGTCAAATTATCGCTGGTTGAATATTTAGTCGGGAAAAGTTGAAGAAAACTGAACAAGAAAAGATTTCAGTTGAAACTTATTTGGTTAACTAAATGTATGAATTGGTTATCGTCAGTCAATTTAAACCGTTTTCCCTGTTTTTCTGTTGATGGAATTTTCATTCACTTTTCGTTATTTATTTTACAAAGTAATACATGATTATTATTACCATGTTAACTGTAGATTATTACCATGTTAAAAAGGAGAAAATTTCAAGTCTCATTTCATATTTCTTATCTTTCCAGTTCTCTACTTATTTTTTATTATTATATTTTTACCCTTTTCAACTCCCAGTTATCATAATTTTTTTTTACTTTACTTTTCTTTTCTTTGCCATCTTTTCAATGACAAAACAAACCAACTCTTGTGAGTAACTTGCAATGTGTTTCAAGCCTTAGGCAATGGTCAACAGTTTTTATACATTTGTTTGTTGCTGTGAAGATGACAAGGAAAAGATGTTGATCATCAACTCCAACTGTAAACTCATCATCATCATCATGTAATAACAGTTGGAGATTTTTACATTTTTCAACTTCAATTGAAAGAGTTTTGATGAACAGAAAG